CCTCCAGGGTACCTTACAAGTACTTTCCACTGGCCCCTGTTGTTCAGACTCACCATCCTCCCCTACCCACTGTGTCTCTATTTCTTCTGTAACCACCGCCCTCATCCACACTCTGCTCTGCACCACACGGTGGGTCTCAGTCATCAGGGTCAACCCTCTGAGTGTCTTTCCTGATTGTCCCAGAGCCCCCCACACCCCATGACACAGAGGCCTGGCTGTCAGCCCCATGCATGCTCCTGTGATCATGTAATGGTGAGTCACTGTCCAGCTCAGAAGAAAGTCTGAAAGGGAAGTTTGGGCCCACCACCTGGTACACACCCTCCACCAGGATACGCTTTCTGAGGAGGCCCTACTCTTAGGGGACAGTCCCGTCCTAGCCCACCTGCCCCCAGGGCTCAGGTTGAGAAAGTGGACAGGGAAAAGGGCAGCCCACAGCTGTCCGGGGGAAGCTGAGCCCTGATAAACGGTGGCCCTACACCAGGGGAGGCAGAGGAAAACAGACGCTGCATGAGATCAGAGGATGCCGTCCCACCCTGCTCCACGCCACACTTTCCATGGATGCCCCGGAGTGAGTCCAGGCTCTATTTTTGGTCACTGTCCACCTGCCTCCCACCCCAGGCCCAGCACAGAAATGCTGGATCTGCCCCACCCTTGCCTGCCTGGCCTGGGGGTTATCACGGGCGCACCCCACCCACCCCTGGAACAGGAGTCTTTCCCAAACCTCATGGCAGGTGCCACTGCCCCACTTCGTTCTTTCCTTGCCCCAAGCAGCTTGAAGGGCAGAAAATCACCCTACTTCATCAGACCTGAAAAGGGGGCGTTGAGACACTGAATGGGGAGGAGATACCGGGAGGTCATTGGGGGCCCACGGAAGGCTGGGCCCTGAGAAGCATGGGGCCATGTCTGAAGATGGTGGCCATTGGTGGCTGTGACAGTCCCCAGAGACAAAAGGACTTCACAAGTAGACCCTGGGGTAGAACTCACATGGGAAAGGCAGGGGGAGGGCCATACACAGGAGGGGGGAGGAGGCCCTGGGCGGTTCCACAGAGGGGTGCAGGAAGCCAAATTTGTGACACGAAGTTTTGTAGGGAGGTGCAGGGGAGCCGTATAAATGGGGGGTCGGAGGAATGAAAACCCCAAAAGGCTCTGAGATATATGTAAGAAGGGGTCCTGAAGGTCAAAGGTTGGCAGGTCAGCCCAAGCACTAATTATTCAGAGATGAAAACCTTGGGGAAGACCCAGAAGAAATGAAAAAAAAAAACAGTACAGCCTTTGGAAATGGGTTTTCCTGGGTGACGAGGGGCAGAGCAGGTAGGCAATGTGTGGTTTTAGCTCAGGGAGGTAAATATTGGGCCAAGTAGATTTTTTGATGCACTTATGTCCTGGGGCTTGGTTTATCCAGTTGTCGAAACCCTTCCTTCACCCAGCACCTCGGACAATCAGCCGAGTGGTACGACGAGGTGTGTGCTTCTTGCTGGCAGAGAAAATCTTTTGTTCATCCTTGTTTCTAGCAGTGTGCTAACTTAAAATATGTAAAAACTCATCAGAACAGCTGTCAGCCAGCACACCATACCCACGACTACCAGCTGGGTTTGTATCCTACGTCGTGCTTAGCCCCAAGAAATGTTTGTGGCTTCGAAATTATTTGATTAAGTATCAATTTAATGAGGGGAAATACCAGCTAATTTAGTCAAGCAATGGGTTTGACTTGGGGACGGAGGCAGCTTTCTCCTCCCCAAATTATGGTCCTGATGAGGGCTCCAGGCTGGCACACAGAGCTTGGAGCAGCATCACGTGGAGGTGATGCCCCTGGCCGCCTGCTGTCTCCCATGCACTGGTGAGCTGGTCGTAAATGGGGGCGGCCCAAGGGGAGCAGCTGGGCTCTGCTGTGTTTTCAGAACTCAAGATTGCCTCTGGCGTCAGCAAATAGCACCAGAAAGTTTCATCAGGAACCAGGGACAAAATAAATAAGTAAAAAGAAACCAGTGACAGCTGCCTGCCATCACCGTAATTAAAAAAAACACACAGTCCACCATGGTCAGCTTTCCGCTCCTCCCTGACGTCCCCTACACACACACACACACGCACACACACACGCACGCATGCACACATGCAGGCAACAGGCCACCTGTGGAGGGACGGAGGTCTCAGCCTGGGGCCAGAGAGAGGCTCCTCAGCCCCCAGTGTGCTCCCAGCTCTGAGCTCCTTCACCCTCTCTCTCCCTTCACCCCCTCTGCACCCGTCGTCACGCTCTTCTAGAACCTGCCTCGCTGGGTGTCTACCTCAGGGCTTCCAAACTTGCTGTCCTCAATGTCTAGAAACTCTCCCACCAAGTGTTCTGACCACTCGCTCTTTTGCTGTATTCAAATGGTCCTCAAAGTTGACCTCCTTAGACAGGCCTTCCCCGCGTGCCCTATCTAAACCAACACGGCTGCAGCTGCAGCCATCTAACTTTATTCTATGCTCATTTTCTTCAAAGCACCCCTCTGTAGGTAAAGTTATCCTATAGTCTTATGCTTTGCTGGTTGGTTATCTGTTCCCGCCCCATCCTCATCCCCCAGGCCTGCACATTCCTACACTCTAAGAACAGGGACCATCCTGTTCATTGTTGTCTCTCAAGCTGCTGGAACAGTGCCTGGTACATAGTAAGCTTTCAATAAATAGACACTTATTGAAGGAATGAAGTGTTACTCCTTCTGTGCCAAGATGATCCATCTCACCTACCAACAGAATCTGAGCTACTGTTTCCAGGAAAAGGTGAGGTGGAGAGAGTTCCTAGGCACTCTCGTCGCCAGGCCACCTGCCACGTGGCAGCACAGGAATGACCATCATGCTAGTTTCCTTGTGCCAGGCCCTCTGCTGGGGTCTCTACACGCATTAGATCTTTTATTCCTTATGATAACTGTATGCATTCCGCATTTTTATCCCCACTTAACAGATGAGAAAACCAGGGCTCGGAGAAGGAACTTGAAGTTTCCTAAGTTCACGGAGCTAATCCGGCTTAGAGTCTGGACTTAAACTCAGATCTGTGACTCCAAGCTCAGTCACAAGGAAGCTTTTTTCCTAGGACAAAACTCGAGCAATCGAACCACCCTCACCAAAACCTCTCTCCCCCTGCGTCATGGCCATCAGCCTGCCAGGGCCGGGGAGTCCTTCCTGCCCTCAGCACGGACACGGTGTGCCCAGCCTCACACCAAGCTTCCCAACAACGCATCAAAGCCCTTGGGGGCGCTGAGGGAAGGAGAAGAGGAGGGGAAAGGAAAGGAGGAAGCGGCAGGCTCAGGCTGTGAGACTAGATGATCTCCTCTCTAAGTGTGGCCTGCCAGATATTGCAGGGCAGCGAGGGGCTTGCTCAGACCCTCCACCCTTTCCCTGAACCCGATAGCCATCTCCCCCAGTTATCTCAGCCAGAGAAGGAAACCATCAGCCCAGCGCAGCCATGACTCTGGGCCTCCCAGGACAATGGGGCGGGGTTTCCGGCAGTCGACTGCGGTAAGATGGGAGGCAGGGTCCCAGGCTGGCCAGCGGAAGGGACAAACTCAGCATTAGCAGGGAGACCCGCCTGCCTGCTCCGGGACCCCTGAGTTGTTGAGTCATTGTTCTAGGAATAAGTCACTTCCCCTGGGGGCACCTTTGTCTCAAAGGGACAGAGCCATCCCACACCCACCCTCAAGGGCTCCAAGATGGGCGAGGGGAAAGGGAGAAGGAAGTCTGGCTCAGCTGAGGAGGCTTTAGGAAAAAGGGGGCTTCCTCAGCCTTATGAAGCTTCCTGTCCTCAGTGCTCTCCCGGCGCTTTGTAAATGTCATCTCAGCTTAACCTTCAGCACACCCTATGAAGTAGGTACTCTTAACTGGTCCCAATTTACAAGTGAGGAAACTAAATCTCAGAGGGGTTAAGTAATTTGCTCCGGTCACTTTCAAGCCACATTTCTCATTTTAAAGGAAAACGAATTCAGTTCTGCCATCTGACATCCCTTCCCTTTACTGTCAACACAAGCAGGGGCCTCGAGCCCTCCAGGAAACTTCCCCTGGGGAATGAGGACGGCTTGCTGTTGACAAGGACCAAGTCTGGCCTGCCTCGGCCACAGGGTGCACGGGCACACCAACAAACGTATGGAGATGGGGAGACACGTTGTCCTCTCCAACCCTGATTATCTGCTTCCTGCTTTATGCAATCTCCAGTTTCTGGAGTCTCTGGGCACCCCCATCTCATTGCCCACAGCTCACTCCCTGGCAGAGGACGGCTGGAGATCCAGAGACTCAAATTTCAGGCTCAGCTCTGCTGCTCACCAGCAACATGGCCCCTCTCTCCACTTAGGGGTCCTTGAAAGTCCCAAGTACATCGGAAACCGCCTCCTGCCACTGTAAAGCAGCTGGTGCCGAGTTCTCAAAAGGGCAGTGAAAAAGAGAATGCTTCCCAGAGTGAGGAAGGATACATGTGATGTCAACACAGTTTAGCATCGCCTTGCTGGGGATATTGAGGCAGAACACATCCCCCCAGGATGCCCTGTCCCGCAGCATGAGCTTACACAGGACACAGACACCTGAGATAGGATCCAGAGTTGAAAGTGGGCAGAATAAATCACGCCAGGATCCAGCCCATCCAAACATGAGTTATGTCATTCAGTTCCTTTCCTCCTAGGGGTACAATCTCCCTGACCACACAGATAGTTTATCAGAATCTCATAAACTCTGAAATCTTGTACTAAGCACGGTTCCAGCTTCTTAGCCAAAGACACTCAGTAAACACACAGAAAGCTCTAGAACTGTTAACAGCAGAAGGAACAAAACCGCCTTCTTGTAAGACAACATCACCTTTAGAGCAGCGTCTCTGAAGAACCTGTATGGACAGATTCCAGAGGTAATTGTTGATGCTAAAAGTTCAGCTTTGAAATGCTTTGAGCGTCTGACAGCATCCAGACCCAAGATCCAATAGATTTTTCTAGGTGTGACCCTGGTATCCCAGCAGACCCTTTGAGGTTCCTGTCAACTCTATTTTTGTCCCCATGTCTGGGAAAACTGACTAAATTTCCTTTTATTTGGAACCAAGCCCAACTCTGAAGTTGGGTGGATGTAGCCACATTTCCGGAGGTTTGAAAACAACGCTGGGTGTTGCAGGGAACAGCTGTGCTAACAAGCACGGTCCTTATCTGCCTGAACCTAGTCCTGTCGGGGTGTCCTGGAGAGCCGGGCAGGGACTGAAGAGTGGCCAGCCACACCCACTGGGGGCCAGAGTTACAAAAAGCCTGGATCATCAGATAAGGAGTCTCGGAGAAAACCCTTAGGATCAGAAGAGTCCGTTCCCCAGTGTGAGGGACTCTCTCCCCAAAACCACCTCCAGAACTTCTTCCAGAAAGACTGACCTGATTATTCCCCTGCCCCCTGAATTGCCTCCTTCCCCAGCACTTTCGACCCTCATGTCTGAATTGGCCCAGACTGGATTCAGTGGGGCTCACATAGAACGTTCCTGTCTCTCTGTGCAAAAGCTCTAGCCTCTCATCCACTTGCTCATCAACAACACGCCTCCAGAGGGCAGGAACCTATGTGTGCAGGCATCTATGCATCCTCCTCCATAGTGTCTAGTGCAGGGCAAGCAAATCCACGCTGGCCCTTTTGTCAGTGCTAGGGCCCTTCTGCATCTCCCAGCTGGCTGCCTCAGTGGTCCTCAACCCTGGTTGCCCATCAGAGGCATCCTGGAAGCCTTAGAAAATACCCGTCCCGTGGGCTCCCCCAGAGGTTCTGATTTAACTGGTCTGGGATGCAACTCAGGCCTTGGCGTTTTAAATATGCAGCAGGGCTGAGGACGTCTCTGCTCTAGCGTGTTGACACCAACCTGGAGCCGGAGACTGTGAACTGTAAGGGCTGGGAGGTTGAAACAGGGAAGCCAAGAGGGAGGTGGCAGAATGCCCTCCTGCAACTGTCTTAGAGAAGCAAAGAGACCAACACAGGACGTCATCAGACGGGGGCTGCTGGCTTGGGAAAGGGAACTGGCCCCAGATTAGAATCTTCCCTCCAAAGAAGAGATTATGCCTTCTGGTCAGGGGAGATATTAAAATATTTATCAGTGGGTGTGGCACAGGCACTGGTCAGTCAAAACAAGTCACCAACCATCACGATGGATGTCTGCTGAACGCAGCTCCTGGGGCTTCTGTGTTCATCCTTTAACACTTACCGCAACGGTCACCACTCCACAAAGTGCTCAGCAAACATTCGACTTTGTTACGTCTAATTTCCCTTTGAGAGTGAAAAAGCAACGCTTGCTCAGGGTAAGAAATGCAAGAAAGCCAAGTTTTCAGGATCCATCACCCAGAGTCGACCACCGTGAACACACACACCCTCCCGCTCAGAGAGCCCACTTTTGTCTTCCCCAGCTCGTCTCTGGCAGGTGCCTTCCTGGATGGGCAAAGTGTCCACCTGCAGTCAGAGGAAGAAAGTCCCAATGACCCTAAAGCCTCTCCAGGTCACTTTCCATCACTTTCCATTGCCCTAAAGGAGGAAGAAAGGGCAGGAAATCTTAGCCCTATTTGAAGAGAAAGGGAAAGTGAGTAATCAGAATGGGATGGGACCTCCCAAGGACAGACTGAGTCAATCAGCAAACATCCCGAGAGTGCAAAGAATTTGGAGGATACAGACATGGCACCCCAGTCTCCACCCTTAAGGACTCCACTATATAGTTTAAAAAGTCAGACAGACGCCCCCCACCCCCCGCCACCCAACTACTGAGGTTGAGTTAATAACTATAAAGTGCTTGGAATAGTACCTGGAACAGAGTAAGTGCTAAGTGTTTGGTGATAGTCTTATTTTTATTACTTATGACACTTGGCATGTATGTTCCAAGAGGGAGATAAACATCAAAAGGGCCTTTTTTTTTGAGGGAGGAAAGATTGTTGGAAGTTTGGGGGAGCGAGGATGGGTTCCTGGATCCTGGGTATGGACAAAGATCCTAGCCCTGAGCTTTGGAAATGCCCCACCATGGTGCATTGACAGAAACTTGGGCAGATCACCCACCCAGCAGGGCCCTGCGCCCTGCAATCGGACTGCACCCCCCACAATTAAACTCCTCTCTTCTTTACGAGTGGGGGGATGAAGCAAGGGGATGCACCTGGGCAGACGTAAGAACCTGCATGTAGGGGCCGGCCCCATGGCCTAGTGGTTAAGTTCGCACGCTCTGCTTGGGCAGCCCAGGGTTTCAGATCCTGGGTGCAGACATGGCACCGCTCATCAGGCCATGCTGAGGCGGCATCCCACATACCACAACCAGAGGGACTCACAACTAGAATATACAACTATGTATTGCGGGGCTTTGGGGAAAAGAAGAAGGAAAAAAAAAAAAAAAGCTTGGCAACAGCTGTTAGCTCAAGTGCCAATCTTTTTGAAAAAAAGAACCTGCAGGCAGTCACAGCGCAGCTACTGACACAGCTCAGCCCGCTCTGGTTGGTGGCTGGTGAAGGCTGCAGTCTGCAGGCTGAAGGGAAACCCCGAGGAGGCCTGAGGGGAGGATCTGGGAAAGGCCCCACTGCTTTGGAGAGCAGAGGGATTTTTAGAGTCTGAATAAGGAGCAGAAAGGAAAAAGGGGGCTGGACAACTTGGTGCCGAGGAACAGGGCTGCAGAGAGGGCCAGGATGTCGACTGGGCGGGGAAGTCTGGGTAACTGCTCTCAGTGACTTCTCTTCCTGACCTCCACTAAACCTCCAGGGAAGTCCACACTTCTCCCAGGGCACAGGGGCTGTTGACCCCAAGCCGGGCATGGGCAGGCACAGAGGCCCCCAGTGGGTCTTAAGGAGACTCACAGAAGCTGCTCTTGATGTTGATTTCAAGCCAACCTGGGCTCCAAGGGATAAACCAGCTCCAAGGGATAAGCCAGAGGGGGCAGAACCAGCCTTATGGGAGGACCTGGGGGCTGGGGGAGTAAGACCCAACACCAGAGGGGTTGGGGGCTGACCAGCTGAGGTACACGGGCTGGTTCACACACAAGACGTTTGAGCAAAGCGCTTCCAAAGGAAATACAAAATCCTTTCCATCTATGTATATGTCATCTGTCTTGTCACTCCAGCCACTCAGAGGTGGATCCTGGAAATAGTGGTGTATGTGGGGTGAGCCCACAAGCAGTTCCCTCTGATCCGTCCTTATCTACCCTTAGAAGGGCGTCAGGCCCAGGGCTCCCAGCTCAGCCCCCTCACCGACCTGGGCAAGGTCTATAATTCATACACTCTGGCCTCCTGGCTTCAGAGGGGCTTTGCTGGTGAAACCACAGTCTTAGCTGGTACCAGCCGCACCCTCCCCCCAGACTACTGCATTCCTGCAGACCACCTCACCTCCAATCCCCGGCCTGTGGGGGCCTCTCAGGCTTCTGTGAGCCAGGCCCAGGGGCTCTAATGGCCCCCAAGGAAGGTCGTGCAGCACTTCAGCTGGAAAAATGAGGAAGTGAGATTGTTTCTCCCCAGGAACCTCGGGCCTTCCTCTGAGACAAGCCCTTTCCCATGGCATCCGCCTCACACTGCCCGTGAGTCAACCCCAGAGCCTGGAGCCAGGAAGCGCCCTCCTCAGCGCCAGGCAGACCTGCCTCTGCAGCTCCAGGAGAGAAAGAGCCAGCCAGCTGCAATGGGACAGGGCCACCACCCACTGCTCCGTCCCCAGCAAGCCTCAGGCTTCATTGCTCCCTGACAAGGCTGGGTCCTCCCCATGATAAGAGCATCTATTCTACCCTCCTGTTCAACCCCAAGCTCTTTGAGGGCAGAGCCTTTAGTCCCTATGTCCCAGGGCTTGGCACAGGTCACTGCAGGGAAGGGACATGGACATTTCCAGAAAGGTTCTCTCTGCTCAGGGCCTATCTCTTTCATTTATCCTTGGCAGAATGAAAGCCCATCCGGGATGAGAGTTTATCTGGGAATCAGAATTCCTGGGTCTAGCCTGTTCCCCTCTCTGAATCAGCTGCCCCATGTGCGAACGCCATGGTGGGAGTGGTGGAGGAAGACGGGCTGGCCCCTCAGCTGGCCGGCACACCCCACCCCTGCTGAGGATCCCTCCCCCACAGCCTTCAGAAGCCTTGGAGACGTGGGCAGCTCCACAGTCAAAGAGCTGTCTCCCTTGAAGTGCTTCCAGTTAACATTTCCTCTCTGAAGGAGATAACAGGGCTGGTGACATCAGTGTGGCCACCAGCCAGTGTGGCCACCTAGGGCTTAAAGCCAAGAGGACTGTTCAGGGGCTCCTCCGAATTTGGGTTTCGCTATCAGTAACATCAACTCTCACCTCCGCAACAGCCTTGAGAGGTGTGGGGGCAGAGAGTTTATCCATGAGAAGACGGAGACTGAGAAAGTTTACGCGGCTTGCCCAAGATTGCATAGCCATTCCCTGAGAGCTAAACTAAGCTGCAAGCTCCTGGCTCTTTTCTGTGAAGGGCACACACTAGGGAAGGGTTGCCCAGCACAGTTCTCTTCTCTGCCTCTCTGAGACTCCAGAGGCAGGAGGGAGGGTATAGTTGCTAATGTGAACCTCAGGAATGGAGATGCACCCCGACATGCCACATCTCCCCACGTCAATCAGCCATTCATTCACTCATCAAATATTTGTTAAGTACCTACCTTCTACCGAGTACTGTGCTGGGAGCTGGCGATAGAGATGCATGCAGTTACTTTCGAGTGGGGAATGTGAAACGATTTCGATCTAAAATGGAACCAGAGCATGTGAAATGGAGAATCTCACACAAGCGCCCTCAGAAGAACAGAACTTACGAACCGAGAGACTGATTTCCCTAAAGCCTGATTTACAGAGAACTGAGTCTTATCTCCTGACCAATGAACATCCGCCAAGAATCTCTCCCCATCCTCAAGCCAATGAACTTACTGCTTGGACTCTGGTTGGTCTTCCCCCTCTTTGAGCTCCTTGTCCATAAATACAGCCCGGCCCCAAACTCTGAACGGACTCACCTGTAGCTTGCAACAGCATGCATTTCTGAATTGCAATTCCTCTGCTATTTTCGAATAAACTCAATTTCTAGTAATTCGAGCTTGCCTCAGTCTAACTCTTTATTTAGGTTGACAGAAGAGATGTTCGTTGAACAGCTAATGACAGTAAAGCCTGAGCTATGGGAGGCTAGTCTAGGAGCCAGGGAAGGATTCTTGGGAGAAATCCATCTTGGGTGAGATCGGAAGGGTGAGTAAGAGTTACCCAGGCCCTGAGGAAAAGAGGATAGGCACCTCATCCTCCAGGTGGAGATCTCTAGCAGGCAGTCGGGTATGAGAGGGGCCAAGACTACATATAGAGACTTGAAAATTGTAAGCCTAGGGATAGAGAACATTAGCCTTTCCGTGCCCAATATCTTACAGTCTCCCCAAAGAAACAGACCCTAAGAGCAGCTTGCAAACAGTTTCTAAACTAGTTCCCTACGTTCAGTGCCAATCAGCTAGCCCTACTAGCTATTAGAATGTGGAAATTCTAGATCCACTGGCCCCTCTCTCCAAGGACAACATTCTGCCTGGAGCCTACCATGTCCCCCTTCTGCTCTTATCCCCACCCAGACTGGGTTTGTCTCTGCCTTCCTCTACTCTGCCTGCCTCCCTCACACCAATAGAAGATCCTCCCATGATGAGCAGCCTCTTGTCATCCCTGTGGCTCCCTTCAGCCGACATCCTGATTCTCTCCTTCCTTTTCTGAGCCGGGCATGTGCCTATTGCTCTCAGATCCATGCGTGGCCCTTCCCTGCTCTCTGCTCTGTGTTGCAGGGGCACTGACTCCCGCAAGCTATGTTCCCCAAGGTCTCTTGAGAACTAGTTTCCAGACAGGGTTGTCCATTGAAATTGGAGGACAGGAGAAGAAAGAAACCAGGACATTTCTCCCCCTTGCTCTTATCAGTCATTCTTTCAAGAAAAAAAAAATGAGATTCCATACAGAAAGCAGCTCGTTCAACTTACAACTCAAAAAAATCACACATGCTTTTTCCTTAAGACAACCATCATACTTCAGCATGCATTAGAAGCGCTTTATGCAAACTTCCTATTTCATCACATAGAAAAACATTTTTAAATCATGGGTTAAGATTTAATAAAATTAATACTTTTCACACCTTCATCGAAAACATTCTTAAGTGAAACTAGCTTTTCTTTCCCCAACAATAAAGAATATAGTGATTCCTCCTACCGTTTGGAGCCACTGCCTTGATTGATGCTGAGGCACCAGCCGGATATGGCATCTGACATTTTGTAAACTTCTTTAAAAAACTTTCTTCTCCACTAATGGGCTGGGTATTTTCCATCTACCCCTCCAATCCACTCTCCACCCTGAACCCCGGGAGGCTGACATGTAGGGACTGCGTGAATGCATTTACCTCTGTCTTCCAGATGGGTTCAGCTAGTGGGAAACACCAACAAGAGATGGGACGGTGGGAAGAGAGTGAGGCAAGGATATTTGTCCCTCTGCCTCCCCCCTCCTCCTCTCTCAGGTCACCTTCCTGTCAGGGAGGCCTCTCCCCGTTCCCTTGAGCCAAGGAGCACTAATGGCTCCCAGCTGTTGCTAGCTGAGGGGTGCTGTGCCATCTCTTGTTGGTTTCTCTTAACCCGGCCCGCCTGTTGTAAATAATCCTTTTATGAAACTCTCTTTAACAATCCTCTGTGCGTGGCATCGTTTTCCTGCAGAGACCCTGACTTACCATCAATTCCCCAAACTCATGGCCCAGGCTGTCATCATGCCTCTCTGGCAACCCTTCCCTCTCTGTCAATGGCTTTCTTTCTCACCTACCTGCACGGCCACCGGCTTTATAAATGGTCCACTCCTCTCTTCTTCACTCCTTTCCTCAGACACTCCTCCTCCTTCACCATTTTATATGGGCCATATACACAGAATGAGAAAAGGGATAGATAGATAGATAGATAGATAGACAGATAGACAAATGATAACATATAAAACACCATCATGTCTTTTAAATTTTTATTGTGTATTATTTCTACAACAATAACACATAAAAATAACATAATGAAAACCGTATATAAATGACCCATACCAATAAAGACAGTGTTACCAATGCATTTGAATCAGCCCCTTTTGTGCTCTCTTAATCACGCCCTTCTCCATCCTCCACCTGAGGGAAAAATAGCCTTCTGGATTTTTTGTTTGTTTATTTTTAGTCTTGCTTTTCAGTATATTTTTAATACATACATATGCATTCCTAAACGACTGTTTTTAGGTTTAGTATGTTTTCGAAGTTGGTACCTTTTCTCTATTTGTTAGCTTTCTTGTCCAGATTATGTAGGTCATACCAAACCATTAGTACCGATCCCAACCGATGAGCATCAGGCGGTCCTACCTGGCAGTTCTAGGCTACTTCCAACTTATGAGGCTGTCACCTTAAATGTATGATTGGAGGGGAAGGAGCATGGACAACATCCCATCACTTCTGCCCACATGCCATTGGTCAGGACTCCTGTCATCCAAACCTAGCTGCAAAGGAGTCTGGGAAATGTAATCTTGCTATGTGCCTAGGAAGAGAAAAATGAAGCTGGATTTGGCAAACATATCACATTGTGTCTACCTCTCCAAGGCATCTATATTCCCAGTGAGGACTAGGTTATCTGCTCCTTAAAGATATGGATCCTGCGTAGTATAATTCTGTGCCTCTCCTAGAAAGCTCTCAATGCATTTTAATCAACTATGATTCTGGTGGTCTAGTGGTTAAGTTTCAGTGCTCTCACTGTTGCTGCCCAGGTTTGTTTCCTAGTCAGGGAACCACACCAACCATCTGTGGGCTGTCATACTGTGGTGGCTCCATGTTGCTGTGATGATGAAAGCTATGCCACCTGATATTTCAAATACCAGGAGGGTCACCCACGGTGGACAGGTTTCACTGGAGCTTCCAGACTCAGACAGACTAGGAAGAAGAAACTGGCCACCCACTTCCAAAAAATTGGCCATGAAAACCCTATGAATAGCTTCAGAGCATTGTCTGATACAGCACCAGAAGACGAGAGGATGGCGCAAAAGACCAGGCAGGGTTCCACTCTGCTGTCCACAGGGTTGCTAGGAGTCAGAATTGACTTGACAGCACTAACAACAACAGTAAATTCGATTCTGGACCCACAGAGGAAAAGACCATTCTCTGTTACTTCATGCTTTAGTGTGACTAGAGATTGGGGATTATCTTTCTTTCTCTATTGCCTCTGTAATTTTGTAATATCTTTCCTAGACCCTAGGAAATGACTGGGTCGTCTACTGACTTCAGACTTTATGTGAAGATACAAACTTTGACCTTTAAATAGCAGATGCTCTTCAGATAAAGAATGAAGCTAAGGGGAAGTCTGAAAGACAGACTAGTAGGGCAGAAAGAGTCCTGGACTGGGAGTCAAGACCCAAGTGTCATAATTTAGGAGGTTGCGATGTATCACCGAAACCATAAACACAGGGCATGAAGTCAGGTCATTAGATGAGTGGTCTTCCTCTGAAAATGAGGACTTAATTTATGGGTTTGCTGTAAGGATTACATGAAATAGTATAAACAGAGCACTTAGCACAACACTTGTATCACAAAAGACTGACAAGGCATAGTTATTTCAGTTGGTAATTCTGTTATACTGTTATATTGATGCTATTGTCCTATTGTTTTGTATAGTGATGTATCTCAAGTGACTTGGAAAGTGCTGGCACATTGTAGGGACTCAAACATATGTCCCATGAATGAAAAACTAAATGAATTTTCAGCTTTGCCAAGGACAGGTAACATGATCTTGAGCCAAGGACCTCACCTGTCTGGGTCTAGGCTCTTCTGATATAAGTAAGAGCATGGGCACAGGGGCTTCCCTGTCCCTCCCAGTACCTGTCACCATGTCAGCAAAGGAGTGCTGGCCACAAAACAGGCAGAGCTGGGGGAGAGCAGGAGAAATGAGCTCAGTGCTCTGGACCAAAGGAGGCCGGGCACTGGGGGAGTGGGACTCACATGAGAAAATGCCAAGAGCACAGCAAGAGGCTCTGCTTGCAGAAGGCAAGGCAAGCAATTAGAGCTGTCACGGCTCCTGTGCCCTGAAACCTCCTTCTGCCTTCTGAGGCTCCCCTGGGGTTCAAAGAAGTGACTGTAGAAGTGCAGGGGGCTTTCCCCAGACCTCACCCTCATCCCAGGAATCTTCCAAACACAGAGCCCGGCCACTGCCCGGGGCTAAGTCGCTGCAGCCTGGGGTATGGGGCTGACTATTTGGCCTCATTCATTCACTCATTAGTTATGATGTACCAGTTGCTGTTCTAAGTGTTGCGGCATAGTTAGGTGAAGAAACTAGTCTCTGCCTTCGTTCCATCCAAGTGGAGGAGGAAAGCACAAAACAAGTGATCAATTTCAGGGTGGTTAAGGAAGACTCGTTCATCCATGTCATCCTCCCCTGGGCTAAGATGCAGAGACTGCCAGCTAGGAAAGAAAGGGGTGAGGTACAGACAGGGGAGGGTGAGGAGAAAAGACAAGGAAGGGAAAAAGGAAGAGAGAAAGGGTTGAGGGAGTGGGGTGGGGAGGGGTGGGGGAAAGCCATGGGGTCCTGGCACAGGCAGCCTGGGCCTCCCCTGGTTAGGGACCAAAAGCTACTGGGGCAAGGACCCTGGCTTTCCTGGTGCTCACCTTGAGTTCATTCCTTCTGCCCCCAGGCTTTCTCCAGGAGGCCTCCTGGGCACTGGCCCTGCCCCAAGCTTGTGAGAGTCTGCAGGCTGCCTCAGAGGCCTGGGCTGCACCCTGGGAAGGCCTCTGAAGGAGAGAGATTGCTGAACAGGAACCCACCAGTGTTCTGAGATGACCTGATTGGGATCACTGTTTTCTGATGGAACAGTGAAAACAGCAGCATTTTCCCTGAAAATCAAGTTGTCCTCCCCGAGGCAGCTGTCATTTTGAGAGGGCTGGACAGGCAAGGCCTCCAGGACAGCTCCCCAGCTCTCCTGGGCCTGCCTGTCAATACACTCAGGGGAAAAAAAAGCCCCAGGGAGCGGTGAGTCACCACTGTGTGACAGCGTGACAGCGACACCCGCCCAGCCTGGGAGAACAGATACCATAGCGGGCTGACACAGGGCTGTTCCCGAGACAGAGGAGGCAGGGGTAGGGGGTGGCTGGTCAGAAGGGAATTCAGGCCTTGGCTCTACCTGGTGTCACACAGCTCCATCCCAGAAGGCCGCCGCTCCATCTCTACATTGCAATATCCCGTGAACCTTTTAGGCCCCCTGGTCCGTGAAGTCGTCCCTAATTCTCTCACCTGGACCGGAATAATGTGCTCATTCATTCATTTATCAGCAAACATTCGCTGACCCTTCCATGTAGCAGCAAATACAGAAAAATAAAAGAAAACAACCCTTCCTTTAAAGAGATCACAGTCTACTGGAGCAGATAAAAAAGAAATGAGCACGAAAAGTGCTGTGCATATACGTACGTGTGTGTATATGTATGTACGCATGCATGTATGTCTGCACATGAGTGCATATGTGTGCATGTGTGTGTACCTCTCACATGTGGCATTGGGAGCACGTGGGAGGCCACCTGACCCAGCCTGAGCTGTTTTGAAGGATGGGTGGGACCTGCCAGGCGAAGTGCAAGAGCCCTTAAAAAGGAACAAAGAGACAGGATCCGCATGCGCACAGGAATGAAAATGGAGACAGCACGGCCACCTCCTCAGTCTACTTGTACTAAATAAGCCAGAACCTGCTTCCCCACTGTATCTTAAACGAGGGCTTCAACGTCTGCATCATATCCACATCCAATACACCATTAACCTCCTCGCAAGGGGCACAACAGAGGCCTACCCTGTTTTGTTCCCACTGTCCACCTCATTATCAAATTTTTGGTGGGGGAGGTGCGGGAGATAAGCATAAGTAGTTTCAAATGCAGTAAAAAATATCAAAGATAGAAGCAAGGTGACCAACTATCCTAGTTTTAGCATCACAAGTTCTGCGTCCCTGGAACCCCTTTGGTCCCAAGCGAACCAGGAGAGTTGGTCGCCCTGGAAAAGAAGACAGAGTGAGAAGAGAGAGGAAGCCAGGAGTCTGGCTAATTGATGGATCAACCAACCGATCAGCTCGGAGAGGTGAGCGTGGGCTGTGGGTGGACAGGGAGCATGTGTCTGCACACGGGGAGGAATACTTCTTTCCTGTGAAAGCATTAAACCCACCACGCTCCACCCTTGTCCTGACTGCCCCTGGGCGGTTGTCATCCATCCCCGGCTTGCAGCCTCTGCACAGGCCCCAGCAGTTCTTCCTCAGCTCTCAATGACCCCTTAGGGGGTCCCGCTGGGATTTGACCCCCCTTCGCAGAAAGAGTGCTTCTGGCAGCCTCCCTTTTCTTGTAGCATAGGCCCCAAAGGAGTGGTGTTTGGCAATGGCTCCAAGCAGCTGTCTTTAACCCGTTCCTGTCCAGCACACCAGCTTACTCCCTGTGCACATCGACCCTTTCGCTCACATTCTGCCCCCCTGCTATGACCTTGAATACTGATGAGGGGTCAGGGTGGCTTAAGCTACGGACAATACGACTCTCCGCCTCTCCGGATCTTCCTCTCTGAGAGGAGATGTTTAAGCTCCCTCCCCGGTCGAGGCAGGGTCAGAAGGAGCAGCAATGTTGTTCTACCGATGCCACGCGTCGGCCAGACCCCACGTCTACCCGCGAGCCACCAGTCGCACTCAATGCTGCCTCTGTTTCGAGATTGCTCCTGAAAAGCCCCTGTGTTGTGGCTCCCGGCTCCAGTAAGGTCTTTGATACAAGGTCTCCATTCATGCCAGACTGGCTGTCCTTGGCCACACAGGCAGCCCCCGCTCCCTGAGGAAGCTGCCTGGGGTGTGGGGTGATCTTCCCCTGGCTTTCCCCAAAGGCCGAGCGCACACTACCTGGACCCCCTCCCTCCACCCAGCACTGCCTTTTGTCCGTCTTCTGGGAAACCCCACCATGGGCTCAGAGCAGCACGGCCCAGGAGCGCACACCAGCCAGAAGGGCTTTGGGGAGCTTACACCTCTCTGCCAACAGCCGTCCAAGCTCCTGGCTGCCGTGAAATGTCAGTGAGAACAAACAAAGCACAGAGAAGAAACTTTCTTTTTCCCTCTGCCAATGAGCTGAGGGAAGAAAGAGCTGTCTGAAAGTCACCTATCTCTAGGACGGAATGGAGAGTCAGTTCTGAGGGAGGGAGCTGCCGGCAGGGTCCTTGTCAGTTAGAGAGCTAACTGACTGGTATTTCTGAAGCTCAGGCAGCCTGGTGAGTCCCACACTATTCTGCACAGGGTTCAGGCTCCCAGCAATGGAATAGAGCAGGAGCTCTCAAACTTGAGTGTGCATCAGAACCAATCCATTACAACACAGATTGCTGGGCCCACCCCCAGAGTCAGTGCTTCATCAGGGCTGGGGTGGGGCCCAGGAATTTGCATTCCTACCAAGCTCCCAGGAGAAGCCGATGCCGTGGGGAGCGGACCTCACTTTGAGAACCATTAGAATAGGATCTCCCCTGACCTTACGAAGACTAGCAAAGCATTTGAGGCCACCAACATACATTTGAGTTTGCAAAGATAGTTCCAAAGCAAAAACTACCTATGAATGCAATGCAGACTGAATACATCAGAATCAAGGGGATTCAGGGGAAAAAAAAAGAGGAGGCGTTCCTTGAGTGTTTACTACGATGCTCTTATCATCTCACGTGATTGTCATGAAGGCCTATGAGGTAGGTAATCATTTCCCCACTTCACAGATGAGGAAAAAAGAGGCTCAAAGGTTCATCAGTTCCCCAAGGGTAAGCAACTAACAGAGCAGCAGGCTACACCGCACTCTGAGGCCAGGCCTGCATGACACCAAGGAGGGGAGGTGGGGTTTGTCAGAGAAGCTTCCTAGAGGGAAAGCGACTCTAGCTAGGTGGTAAATGGGTTACGAGTGAAGAGGAGTAGGGGGTTGTGAAAGGCCATATTGAAAGGGGGAGAAGGGAAGAAGGGAGGTGTCCTCCATGGTGGATGGGATAAGAGTCAAGGAGTGAGGACAGACTATTTGGGAGGCGGACTGGAATAAATGAGAAGCATGGAGAGGAAGGGCGGCCATGTTGAAGAGCAGTGACAGGAGAGTTGGCCACAGGGTGTTATGGCTGGTTCTAAAGTTGGCAATGGCGTGACAAGCCAGTGCTTGAGGAAAATTATTCTGGCAGCTGGTAGGGAGCAAAGAAAGCCAGAGGCAGGTCTACCAGATTGGTAGGTCAAGGCAGTCAACAAATGAGGTAAATTCCCTAATATTGTCATGGATGACTGGAGCAGCCCTACAGTTAACAGTTGGGTTGTGTAATCCAATTTTTATCACTAGCGACCCCTCTTCCAAAGATTATCTACAGGTTATCATCTTTTCTGGTTTTTCTCATCCTCTGAGGCGTCATAGCCTCCCCCAAAGAACCCAGCATTCTGCAAGGGTAGGAGGGGAGGTTAGTATTAAACAAATGGGCACAGTGAGGGCTGGCAGACATTTACCCAGACTGCCAAGGGCGCCAGTACATCGAGTGTCACTCTGCCTCTCAAAGATGTCTTAAAATGAGATTCCATGGGCTCTTTCTCAGTCTCTTTCTTTGCTCCTTATGATGTCCTGGAAGTTAATTCCCTTTTGTTCACCCTCCAAGAGGAGAAGAACAAAAGAATGCTGAGCCAAACGAGGGCCCTCTTAAAGGCCACCGTCAGAAAGTGAACCATTCCCACTGCCCTGGAGTGGTGGCTGCATCTGTCTCCTCAATCCGCCATCAGGGTGGCTGCATAGACGGGGGGCAAGTGAGGGAGAGTGTGGACTGCCCGGTGGGGGCCCGCTCACCAGCCGCACCCGCTCATTCAGGTTCACAGAAGTATCTTCTTACACGAGCACAACAGCATGAGGCTGGGCAGCGAGAGTCCTAATTTCATTTGTACTCAGATACAAGCTTTTAGTGAGTGGGCAGCAGGCCAGGCCAGGCCCGGAGAAGAAAGTCCCCATTCCCATCCGAAGCTCCCGTGGAGCTGAGCCAGAGGATGGGGGAGATGCCATTTGGAGGAGGCACTTTGGAAATTCCTCACATTTTTTGGCCTTTGTCTCTGGGCATTGAGATGGAGATCCACGTTTGACTCTGCGGAGAGCTCCCAGTCTCTCCTTTGCATTCAAAAGGAGGATCCTAGCAGAGAGCAGAAAGAATTTGTGGCCGTTTTTTCATCTCAATGACCAACTGAGTCATTTGAGGGTGGGGGGGTACAGCCAAGGAGGTGGGTTTTCTTTTGCGTCTTCTTTACTGCATTTCCCTCTGCACCTCCTGGCCCTGGATCAGTGATGTAAATGTGACGCCCCTTTCTGAGAAGAGCTGCCCTCTTGCATTCTCTGGGTTCCAGGGGAACGTCAAAGACAGACACCTGTGTGCTGCAGATGTGACTGTGGACCCTGATGGCTCTACAAGACCTCAAGCAAATCCCCACCAACTTGGATGGCTCATTCCTACCGCCTCCCAAAGTGGAGAAGAGTTTGGCGTTGTCCTCCCCGTCCCATCCAGGGACGGGGGAGGACACCAAAGGTGACAGGGAATGTTCGATGTAAGAACAACATTAGGAAGGGACAGGGACACCATGGCAAGGCCCCTCAAGAGAATAGCCAGAAGCTCCCTTTGGCCAGCAATTTCAGACTTCCGCATACCTCTGTCCAGCAAGGCTTTCACCATTGTTGTGAACAAGGATCCTTCCGTTACCAATTTGAGATCCATACCCTTTTGTGGTCACTCCCCTTCCCCATTGCTCACCCCTCTCCCCCCAGAAGGCACTTTGCACCCAAACGAACTGACTCACCAGCAGCTGGGGGAGGGGAGGGAGCAGGGAGCCCCCATGCTGTGACTAACGTCGCTGCTGGCCCCTCAACATCATCAGTTGACTTTCTCCACTCACTCCCTTCCTGATTCTGTCCAGATCACATTTGTTCTGAAGGACTTGAGTCACCTCACCACATCCCTTTTGTGACCACAGTGAAGTCTTCATAAAGGGACAGCTGGCCCAAAGGAGGGGAGATCCTACAGATAAAATGAAGAGGAAACTTCTTTGACGGTTCCACGGTAACTTTCTCAACCAACCCCTCTCAGAGACCCTTGTACCAAGTATCAGGGTTTGTCCCCCCCACCCCTCCACCACAGACCTGATCTTCCAAGAGGTAAAAAGAAAACTGATCTAAGTTAAGGGGTACTAGCTGCTGATAAATGAGTTTGCCAGGCCACCATTAGGCCATTGCATGACCTCAGGTAAATCACTTAACCTCTGAGAAAACCTCCAGTTTTCTCCTCTGAGAAATGAAAGGGTTGGGTGAGAAGACCTCCAAGGTCCCTTCCAGACATGACAGGCTAAGGCTTAATTGTAAGCTCTACATCTTACCGCAGGAACAACTCATCCATTTCCTTCTTCATCTCTTCAGGTGCCGGCCCTGCCCCATGGGACTGGCTGTGGCTGGAATGCAGTATCCAATTACCACGTGGTCTCAACCCCCGTGTGGGTGGCTGTGTGGTGAGAACCACAGGCAGACGACAGCTGTCCTTCTGTGCAGAGTGGCTCCCCAACCAGACTCTGCGGGGTGTTACAGTGTTCCCTGAGGGAGGTCGCTTCTGAGTGCTGGGGCCACAGACTAAACAGACAATTAAAACTCATCTGAGTTTTGGCAGTTTCTCCAAAAGCATTTCTACTCCTGCTTTTTTGTTTTTTGGTGTATGCTTTTCAACTTCAAGGAACACACTTTCCTCTGCAAAGGAATTATACTGAATCGCCTAGCCATTGCACGCAGGCCTCCCCTCTCCTGAAGATGAACTTGGCAACTGCTTCACCATGACATCCTGCACATCCAGAGAGATGGCCCTTTTCTTCTTCTTGTGCTACACAGCCTCGCTCTCCTGTATGAAGGGACGATGCAGTGTTCACTTCCACCAGACTAGCTCCACTCGAGCCACAGGCTCTCCTCACATTTCTGCTTGTTTGGGTGGGTATGAGTATGCCTCTGTGTGTGTTTGTGTCTCTCTCTGTCTCCCCAATACCTGTGTGTATCTCTCTGGGTGTGTGTCTCTTGGAGCTCTCTCTCTCTGTCTCTCACAGTGCCTGTCCAGGTGTGTGTGTGTGTGGGTCTGTATGCGTATGTCTCTCTCTATCACCCTGATATCTCTGCACAGCTCTCTCTGGGTTGATAGACAGGTGATCCTGCTACTCCAGCAGAGTCATCGTATTTTCTTCTTACATTCGCTGCCAAACTTCTTAAGTTTTTTCTGTAGGTAACTCGTTGTGGATGGGCCCCCAGGGGCAGCTTCTATTCTAAACCTGTGTCGTCCTGGAGGCCAGAGTCAGCACAGCCAGCCTGCCTCCAAAAGTACGAGTCCAAGGCCAAAAGTATTGGTGAGTGATACACGTTTTACCAATGTCTCCACGATGATGAGGAGAGATTATATCACACACCAGATCATACCACGAAATTCAGACAAGCTTCCTCATTAGACATTTTGCTGTCTCCCCAGAATCCTTCTGAAAGCATCACTTCATCAGGTTTGCACTGGACGGAGGAACCGGCCTTGGAAGACCTGCCATATCTGCAGCCCCCTTTAAGGACCGGTGCTATTCCGGTGGAGCTGTGGCACATGGGCCAGAGCTGATTGGATCAAGTGACACCCGACCCGAGGGCTGCCCTTCTGTAGGTCAGCCAGCATCCTATGAGGTAGCCCGGCCCAGGAGCCAGTGCTGCCTGAACCAATCAAATTCTTCTGCTTAGGGAGTTTGGATGCAACATAGAGGGGCAGCCAAGTGGTTGTTAGTGAGAGAAGCAGAATGATAAAGAAAAGCAAGGACGGAGAGATGATCAGTCTGTGGCGGCAGAGGGAAGTAGGGTCAATGCACAGCTCCTGGAGAGAAGCTGCAGATCCAGGGCAATGTAAAACCCAGAGGCCCCATCACGGTGCCCCCCACATCCCCAGTACCTACCTCACCACGCTGGGTTCCTGATAAAGCTCGTTAAATGGGCCCGGTGTGCATTCTCGAAACGCCTCCTTGCCCTGAACCACCTGCCATGTGTTTTCATACAGGTGAGTTAGGTGTGCCGCTCAGTGGGGGCTCTGGCACCCTTCCTAGAGTTACAATCTGTGAAACTGAGGCCCTGCGGGAAGGGTGGATTGATGCACATTTCCAGATTTGAGGCTGGGAGGAGCCACCACTGCGAGACTTTCCTCCCCAATCATGTCCTTCTCAGAGCTTCAGTGAGGACAGTTGTCCCTGCAGTGCCCCGGCAAGAGAAATCCCAGACCTCTCTGTCTTTGAGTGGTAAGGACCACTCGCAAGCACCCACTATTTCGTTGGGTCCCATGAGTCCCCTCCCCTCAACGTCGTACTCTGCTCTGGCCGGGCCATACAGTTCGAGGGGAGTGAAACTGGAGAAGAATGTGTGGAAGTTTGTGGCTTTCATCTCTTAAACAAATAGCAAATTCCTCTGGGCTGCGGCTGCTGGAATTGAACAATGATGTGTTCCGGGAGGCGCTAAGGCGTTACCTTGGCAACACCCAGGCTGTTTTCAGGCAAGATCTAGTTAAATGGGAAAGAGAACAAAAATAATAAAGGGAAGAGTCTGGATGGGGTCCAGGAATGGGGGTCTTTGGGCTGAATGTGTGTGTTTTGTGTTCTGATGTGTTTGCAGCCTGCCTTTCAGCTGAGTTTCCTCCCGGCTCCCCCAAGCGCGTCCCACGTCTGTGAAATCGTCTACTAGAATACTAATTGGAGGCTAAGAACAGGCAGCGTGCTACGTGGGGGATGGGTTAGAAAGCGAAAGGCGTCACCACTGTGACCACCTAATCAGGAAGCGATGTGCGTGAAGCCTGCCAGGTTGGCTTTTGAAATCGTGAAGGTCACGGGAGTTACTTCAAACATGACCCAGATGCTTGCACCTTAGGCAGTCGGCGGCGTGTACCGTGGCAGTCCATCAGACCCTTGCCCCTCACAGTGTGGTCCGGGGGCCAGCCACAGAGCATCACCTGGGAGCTTGAGGAGATGCAGACGATCAGGTTGCCCCAGGCCTACCGACCAGGTCTGTGTTTTGACAAGACCCCCAGGTGACTCACAGCACCTACCTTTGTCACGTCAAGGTGGATTCCTAAAATAAGGTGGCAGTCCAGTACAAAAGCAGGCATACCTGGTTTGCTGACAACGCATTTTGGTGTGTTTGTTTTTTAACATTGATTCTTTGTGGTGATGATGACAATGATGGTGCTGATGATGAAGATGACATCAGGTACTGTTATGAGTTGACTTGTGTCCCCACAAAAGGATATGTTCAAGTCCTACTAACCCTTGGTACCTGCGAATGTAACCTAATTTGGATATGAGGTCTTTGCAGATGCAAGTTAAGTCGAGGTCATCAGGGTGGACCCTAATCCAATGACTGGTGTCCTTATAAAGGAGAGGGAAATTTGGATACAGACACCCAGAGAGAATAGCATGTGATGACACAGGCAGAGATTGGAATGACCCTGTCACAAGCCAAGGAACGCCAAGGACTGCGCCAAGGACATCAGCCAGAAACTAGGAGAGAAGCCTGGATCAGATTCTCCTGCTGAGAACGTAAGAAGGAACCAACAAGTTGATACCTCCGTTTTGGACCTCCTGCCTCCAGAACTGTCAGAATATAAATTTCTGTGGTTTCAAGCCACACAGTTTGTGGTACTTTGTTACAGCAGCCCTAGGTCACTCATACAGAAACTTTCCTCTCTTAAAGCACTTTCATATACATTATCTTGTGAAAGCAGAGGCAGAATAGGCATGGTATTCAGTTTTACAAGTAAGAAAGTCTCTCCATTACTTCGAGAGGTCCCGAGTGTGAGGAAGCACTGGACCTGGGCCCGGCCTGGTGCTCCGTCCCGCCAGCTGGGCCTGCGGAAAGGGGCTCATGCACAGGGCATGTGGGCCTGCTGACCAGCCTGTGCACCTGCCCCTAATAGGCACCCTGGGCCTGCTGCTACTGCACCTGAGGACATCAAATAAGAGGGTAGACCGGGTCACAGGGCTCATCCCATCTCCATCTCTACCGTCTACACCATATGGGCTCAAAGGTGCCACCAGCAGTGTGCGTTTTAGCCCAAAACTAGACAGAGCCAAGTATGCATCCTTTTTGTTATCCAGAAGTTTGTATTTGAGTTGTCAAATGTCACCTCCATAGTGACACTTTCCCCGAACCCCCCAGTTTTATTTTCTTGATAACACTTAATATCATCCATGATGCCCCCACTTGTTTATTTAATTAGTTATATGTTTCCTGTCTCCCTTACTCCAATGTAAATTCTGGCCCCCAGAATAGAGCCTTGCCCATGACAGTTTCTCAGTAAATAACAGGAAGAGAATCTGTTCAAAATATTATGGTAGGTGCATGTACTAAAATGCTAAGCAGCCATTACAAAGAATGAGTTGGGTCCACATGCAGTCCATGGAAAGATGGCCATGGGGCCAGCCCAGTGGCGTAGTGGTTAAGTTCATGCACTCCTCTTCAGCGGCCCAGGATTTGCAGGTTCAGATCCCAGGTGCGGACCTAAACACCACTCATCAAGCCATGCTGTGGTGGTGTCCCACATACAAAATAGAGGAAGATTGGCATGAATGTTAGCTCAGCAATAATCTTCCTCAAGCAAAAAGAGGAAGATTGGCAACAAATGTTAGCTAGGAGATAATCTTCCTCACCAAAAAAAAAAAAAAGAGGTCGTGATGTTATTGAGGTGGAGGAGCAATCTGAACAGTGATACACATTGTATGATCCTGTTTTGAATATGTATCACAAATATATACAGCCAACTGTTGGCAGTGGCTGCTTCTTGGAGGTGGGATTGGAGGAGAGCGTTGTATGAGCCAGGAGCCTGGGACCAGGGCCAGGCTGAAAGAAGCAGGGCATAGGCCAGTTGTTTGCAGAGACAGAGAATTTGCTGAAGTCAGAGGAAGGATAAATCCGACTTCTATCACCAAGGGCCAAACGCCAACCAGGCCACAGGCCCAGGGACTCTCTTGTCCCTTCTTCCATTCCTGCTGCCATTGAATTGTGCAAGCCTGGGGAGGGTGGCAGCTGGTGGGAGTCTACAGAGGGAGCAACCCTTCTGCTCCTACCTGATGGAATGGAGGAGTCCCCAAGGACTGTTGGGTTCTTTGCTGAAAACCGGTAACACAAGTGACAAGTGGGTGGAGCCGCCCCCTCAGCTGCGGGCTGGGAGGGAGGGCCAGCGGCTAGGTTAGGATAGGAGGGAGAGCATAACCAAGGGGATAGGCTGAGGCCAGCTGGGAGCCGCCAGCACCCAGGCTTATCTTTCCACCCTCCACGTCCGTAACGAAGGGCACCACACACCCATACGCACAGCACACATGGGATGGGGAGCAAGTCTCTCTACTCCTCTCATACGAAGAAGAAGCCGGATTTCCTGCCCTCAAGCAGACGGCAGTGTGACGAGGGCTTTTCAAAGTCCAACACAAGCTCCCCCACCCCTTGCTGACTAAGTCGTAGAAGGAGAAATCCCCTCTGCTGCCACCTCCCCGCCTCCAGCCCACCCCCAAGCAACAGCTCTCTTAGGAGTGCCTCCCACAAATTCCCTACACTTGGCCAAACTGCTCTTCCTTACACAAGCCCGGCTCTCCTGCCTCTGGGCCTTTGTTAAGCTTCTAGCTGTTTCCTCTGAGTACAGGGCTCCTCCCTCCCCATCCCCACTGGTCTCCCTGGTCCAGGCAGGAGAAGCTGGTGGCTGCCCCTTCAGCCAGCCCTGCAGGCGCTCTGGGTGCGTGTTTGGCACCAGCCTGGATTCCGACTTCAGTTCTGCTGCGTCAAGCCCCTCCACCTCTTAGCCTCGACGTCCCCATGTGTAAAGCAGTGAGAGCAGGGCTCTCACTAGGATGGAGGGCAACGGTTCATGTAGAGAACCCCACTAGTGCCGGGAGCAGAAAGTCAGTGAAAGGCGTGGTTGTTATATCAGAGCGTGCTCTGTGCCCAGTGCCACACCAGCCATCGTGGCAGCAATAAAGACCAGTGAGCCAACATTCGTACCCACCGACCAGAAGCCAGCTCTCTGCTTGGAGAAATGAGACAGGCTTGCAGGAAGAAAAATTTCTGGGCAATAGGAGGGAAGTGCCAAGTAGAAATAACTCCGGGCAGCAAAAAAAAAAAAAGGGCCGGCCCAGTGGCACAGCAGTTGAGTTCGCACATTCCACTTCGGTGGCCCGGGGTTTGCCGGTTTGGATCCCGGGTGTGGACATGGCACCATTTGGCAAGCCATGCTGTGGTGGGTGTCCCACATATAAAGTAGAGGAAGATGGGCAAGGATGTTACCTCAGGTCCAGTCTTCCTCAGCAAAAAAGAGGAGGATTGTCGCAGATGTTAGCTCAGGGCTAATCTTCCTAAAAAAAAAAGAAAGAAAGAAAAGAAATAACTCCGGGCAGCACCTTGGCCTCACAAGCTCTTGGCTGCCCCCAGCCTTGGCTGCAGCACCCAGCTTTACCCAGGTGTCATCTGACGGTACCTGTGAGGTGCACCTGTGACCAATCTTCCCCAGGGCTCCTCTGTGATTAGGACAGGCACTCTGGACACTCACGCATATGATGGAATAACCCTTGGCCAATGGGGCTGGGAACTGCTATACAAATGCTGTCCCATTCTTCCTGGGGACGATTCTGAGACCCATTCCACATACTCCTCCAAGGCTCCGAGCAGGATGGAGCTCTGGCTGCCAGAGCAGCAACAAGCCTCAAGATGCATTCTTGGATTGGTTTGCCCTCCTTCCCCATTCTCTCTCTCCAATCCCACACTCCTGTTCTTTGGTTCATTTCCCAAAATGAACCACCTGGATCCAGGTCCTGGGTCCAGGTCTCAGACTTGCCCAGAGGGAGCTGAGGTTACAACAAGAGCGCAGTGGCTCAGGGCACAGGCTGTGGGCGCAGACTGCCTCTGCCACTTGCCTGGGCTATGAGCTGGGACAATGTGCTCCCCCCTCCCTAGGAGTAGTACCTGTTCCTCTACTCAAAGTATATTAGTCAGGGATCTCCAGAGACACAGAACCAATAGGATATATATAGATATACATGAGAGGAGATTCATTATAGGAATTGGCTGATGCCATGATGGAGGCCAAGCCCCACAATCTTCCATCCGCAAGCTGGAGAACCAGGAAAGCTGGTGGGATAGTTTAGTCTGAGGCTGAAGGCCAGAGAATGGGGTGGGGAGTAGAGATGGCAAAAGTCCTGGTCTGAGTTTGAAGGTCTGAGAATCAGGAGCACCAGTGTCTGGTGTCCAAGGGCAGGAGAAAATGGATGTTCCAGCTCAAGCAGAGACAGTAAATCCATCCTTCCTCTGCCTTTTTTCCTGTTCAGGCCCTCGAATGGATGGGATGATGTCCCCCCACACTGGGGAGGGCATTTTCTTCACTCCATCTACTGATTCAAATACCAATCTGTCAATTTCTTCCAGAGACACCCTCACGGAGACACCCAGAAATAATGCTTTCCCAGCTCTCTGGGCATCCCTTAGTCCAGTCAAGTTGGCACATAAAATTAACCTTCACACTAGGGGTTGCTATAAAGGTCACCTGAGAGATGGTTTAGCATAGAGCATGAGGACACAGTCTCTGGAGCCAGGCTCCCAGATTCTTCAACTTGTGACCCTGGAAAACTTACTTAACCTCTCTGTGCCTCAGTTTCCTCAACTGTAACATGGGAATGATGATAATAGTACCCACCTCCTAGGATTGTTTTGAGGATTAAACAAGTTAATATGTGTAAAATATCTAAAGCAGTCTCTGCCTATTAAGACAGTGTCTGCAAAACTCTTTGCAGAGTACCTGTCACTTTGTAAAATACTAGATAAAGATAAGTATAAGGTTAGTACAAGAAACTGTACCAACCTCGTAAGGTTAGTACAATAAAACCTAGGAAAATATTTTTTTTTATTGTGTTAATGATAGGTTACAATCTTGTGTGATTTCAGTTGTACATTAATGTTTGTCATTCATGTTGTAGGTGCACCATTTCACCCTTTGTACCCACCCCCCACCCCACCTTTCCCCTGGTAGCCACTAATCTGTTCTCTTTGTCCACGTTTTTAAATTCTTCATATGAGTGGAGTCATACAGAGATTAACCTTCTCTAACTGGCTTATTTCACTTAACATAATTCCCTCAAGGTCCAACCATGTTGTTGCAAATGGGATGATTTTGTTCTGTTTTGCAGCTGAGTAGTATTCCATTGTATATATGTACCACATCTTCTTTATCCATTCGTCTGTTGATGGGCACTTAGGTTGCTTCCATGTCTTGGCTATTGTAAACAATGCTGCAATGAACATTGGGGTGCATAGGACTTTTGGAATAGCTGACTTCAAGCTCTTTGGATAGATACCCAGTAGTGGAATGGCTGGATCGTATGGTAGTTCTATTTTTAATTTTTTGAGGAATCGCCATACTCCTAGGAAAATTTTTTTGTGACTTAGAAACTGGAAAGGACATCTTGAAACTTCAAAAGCACACGCCAAAATTTAGACAATTGATTTCAATACATCAAAATGAAGGATTTATTGTCATTGAAGGCGAGTAGGAAGAAAATCAATAGACGGATGACAGAATGGGAGAAGCCATTACCAGGTCTAAAACCAACACAGGTTTTACTCTAATTCTAGGTATACTC